AGAACTATGAAGTCTCTGAAATATCGCCCTGCTTGCAAGGTAAGTTGGACAATATCAATTTCATTGATAATGGCAGAAGGCAAAAGACTTGATGACTTGAGCAGCATGAGCCCTACATACTCACTGTACTTTACCTTACCTCCAAGTCCCAAGTCCCATGGGTGGGGGGACATAGATGGGCTGATGCAGATGCCTTCATATGCATTGGGTTATATTATAAGGGAGAATTTTTTTTGAAAGGTTTTATTCTTTTATTAATGAGAGACACAGAGAAAGAGGCAGAGACATAGACAGAGGAAGAAGCAGGCTTCTCACAGGAAGCCTGATGTGGGATTCAATCCCTGGACCCAGGATCACTTCCTGAGCCAAAGGTAGATGCTCAAGCTCCGAGCAACTCAGGTGTCCCTAGTTTCAGGTATACAGTATAGTGATTATATATTTATATATATTCCATATATCACCTGGTGCTCATCATGATAAATGTACTACTCTTCATCCCCCTCACCTATTTCACCCATTCCCCCACCTGCCTTCCCTCTGGTAACTACCAGCTCACTATTTGAATCTGTTTTTTTGTTTGTCTCCTTTTTCTTTGTTCATTAGTTTTGTTTCTTAAATTCCACATGAGCGAAATCATATGGTATTTGCCTCTCTGATTGACTTACTTCCCTTTGCGTTTTACTCTAGGTCTATCCATATTGTTGCATTAAATGACAAGATGCCATTCTCTTTTTATGGTTGAATAACATTACATTATATATATATATAACATTACATTATATATATATAACATTACATTATATATATATATATATATATATATATATATATATATATATATATATATTTCCCACCTCTTCTTTATATATTCATCTATCAGTGAACACTGGGTCGCATCCATATTTTGGCTACTGTAAATAATGCTGCATTAAAATTAGTGGTGCATATATCTTTCTGAATTAGTGTTTTTGTATTCTTTAGGTAAATACCCAGTAGTGTAATTAGTGGATCATGTGGTAATTCTATTTTTAATTTTTTGAGGAACCTCCATACTGTCTTCCATAGTATCTGCACCAGTTTGCATTTCCACAAATAGCGTGCAGGTGTTCATTTTTCTTGACATCATCATCAACACTTGTGGTTTCTTGTGTTTTTGATTTAGCTATTCTGACAGATGTGTGGTATCCATTTTCTATTTTCAAAGGTATTCATTCATTCATTCATTTGGAGAGAGAGAGAGGGAGTATTATAGACAGGGGAACAACAGAGGGAGAGGGAGAGAGGAAATCTTAAGCAGACTCCATACCCAGTACAGAGCCTAATGCAGTGCCCAATGCATGGCTTGATCTTATGACCCCGAGATCATGACCTGAGCTGAAATCAAGAGTCAGCTGCTTAACCAACTGAGTCACGCAGCACTCCTTTTCTGTTTTTAAAGATTTTTCACTACACAGACATCCTTGACAAGACACTTCAGAACTAAGTATGGGTGAAAAAAAAGACACAAGTCACAGATGTTGCTGGTGCAGAGAGGCATTGTATGTCATTTCATATGAATAACAAAAAAAAGTTTTAAACAAATACATTTATTGTCCACCAATCAGGAAGTCAAGTTTCAAAGACTTTTCTATTTAACATAATGGTTTGTTACTCATATATGGGTGCTTGTTCTTTAGAGAACTGGTTTGGAGGTTAGGGTAGACATTTACTGTATTACTATTATTTTTTTAAATTTAAAATACTAAAATGTACTCTCGAAGGTAGAATTTTTACACTGAAGTCAGGTTTGCAGAAAATACTTACAGTTGGACTCAATTGGAAGAATTGTCATCTTTTAAAAAATCATCCTCATTTGCTACTATCAGATTCTACATAGGCAAATAGTGGTCACTTTTATGGGTGTGGGGGAAAAGACAATGAGGGTATGAGATAGGCTGGTAGTGGGAGGAATAGTGTGTCTATTCTTCCCCGCTTCTCTGTCTCTCATGAATCTCTCCCAGGTATCTCCATTATTCCCAGGCCTGACCTCTTGCATCTGCTTCTGGACCACTTTATTTCTTCCACTTTGTAGTCTTGCCTGGAAGACTTTTTCCTCTTCCCTCTGCCTCTCAGTGACCTGAGAACTATGCATCTGTGAGTCCTCAGAGAACAATAACATTCCACCTTTGCCTAAAGGAAAATCCATCCTGGCTGTGGAGAGGATACCTTGGGCACTTCCAGCCTCTCCCTTGGAAGAGCCTCTCCCCATGCTGGGAATCTCTCTGAGCCATTATCTCCTATGTCTCTTTGTAGTGTCTTGGGTTTGCTCTGCTCGTTTGCTAGGGTTTGATTTTGGTTCTGCTTCTCTCTCAGATCCTGTTATGACAAATCTTTCCCCTCTACTCCAGTAAAACCTTTCAAACTGGACAGTGAAGGGGAGACTGTAAAAGGAGAATGTACAAAGGGGGAATATGAAAGGGTTCTTTATTACCTCCACCTCCTTCTACTACTACATGTACATTTTTATAATTTAACAAACATGAAACACTTCAGCGTAGTTTATAGTGGTTAATATCAATTGAATAGTACAACATTTTCTAAAACTTACTTTGTTGAATGTTATATTATTTTTAATTTTATGTTAGAGAAGATAGAGTAAATACTTCATGACTATTTGCAATGATGTTATATATATAAATAATAAAATTATATAAATTATATAGTTATATCTAATATATAATATAATTAATATATAATATATAACATAATCTGTAATGTAATTATATATAATCTATAATTATATATAATTATATAAAATTATATATATAATTTTATATATATATATATATAATTTTAAGAGTCAGAAAGTACTTCTTTCTGGGAAAATAGTTGGCAGCAAAGAACTGGTTATGAATTTCTTACAAGATTAAGGAATCACTAAGTAGCCACTTGGTAGCTTGGTTTATAGAGCCAGAATATGGCTACCAAGTGGCTTTGTTGGAGTTCCAGATAAATATTATGATATTTAACACATCCTTAAGAGAGTAGTGATGTCCAGTCTAAACCCAGTTGGAGAGAAAAGTTTTCAAAATATTTAATAAGTCCCAATATCACAGATTTTTCCAAGTGTCCTCTTAATTATCTATTTTTACATTGCTCTGAGGAGAGGGCAATATTTTGATCATATCTTTACCAAATGACTAATTACTTCTCTAAAATATATAGTATCACCAGCCTAGATTTGAAAAATCATGTTACCTAAACTTTAAGTGCCAGTGGGGCAAAGGGAGGCTAAAATTAGCCATGACATATTTACATAATTATTTGGGCAAAGGGAAAATACAAAGATACATTCACAATGTAAGCTGACAAGAGAACTAAAAGTACAACCAAAGATATGATAAAAATTGGAAGAGTGATATTTTGTGACAAGATAGAAATGCCCAGAGAAATAACTGTTGTCCCTGAATGAACTGAACTCAGAACCTACCTTACTTTTAGATATTTCAGTTAGGTGATACAATACATATACTTATTTTTTGAGCAATATTAGGCTGGGATCTTTCTTACCTGCAACTACAAATGTCCTGTCTTATACCATGGGATCCTCCAACTGAAAGAACAGAATGTGGTCCTTACAACTCCTTTCTAAAGGAGGAACTCAAATTAAAATAGGAATTGGCACATGCACTGTCACTGTGAATTTTTCTGATTTTTATTACTTCAACCAGGGCAAAAACTCAAGACCCATGGTGTTACACATCATAAATTCATTTAAACTGATGGAAAAGTGTTTCCACCAAAAATGCTTTAATCAAGGCAGTCTATCTTAGAAAGAGCAAAAGAAATTTAACAAATATTCATTTTTAAAAAGTGACAAAGTGCATTCATCTCAACTATTTATTCAAAAAGTGATAACCTCACCTAGCAATGTTGTAGTATTCTTTGCTGATATGGAAAATTTTGTCAGTGGTCTCATATGAGATTCTTTTCATAGAAAATAATTCTTTTCCAGATTAGGAAACTAGCCAAATACACTTTTTTCTATAATAGAAACATGTGATTAGGGAGAGGTGGTGATAAGATGGAAGGCAGATTAGTGGTCTTGGTATATAGATAGTTCCATGAAAAGTCTGGGTCTTGCCTGCAGTCAGTTAAAGGGAATTTATTCAAAAGAGCATCATTCTTTTTTCACTCAAAAAATAGTAACAAAAATCCTATCAGATGTTAAAGCCATCCCAAATCCAGTCCTGACTGAGATAAGAATGTTTTAGGGCAAAAGAAAGAGGACCTAGCTGAGTCTGTTCTCACAAGTGCCCGCTAGGGACAGGGGAATGCATAGTTTGGTGGAGCAATGCCCTCTGACCATGGCAAGGAAAGTAACAGAATTTGAAAGATATTAGGAAATTGTACAGTAATTTGACATATTACTTATATGCCTGTCAAAGATAATAAAAAATAGGTCCATATATTGATTATTTGTTTTATCCATCTAATTATTTTGATTTATTTATTCATAGTCTGTTTTACAAATATTGATGAAACCTATTAATTGTCCTTCAGTCTGATACTTTAGGAAGTACTGTTCTAAACATCGTCTGAAACTTTAAACTGGTAGTGTTATACCATCAGACCTAGGGGAATATGCAGCAGAATGTGTGGGGGAGCAATGTGCACAACCCAAACCTACACAAGCAGTATTGAAACACCTCCCATTACAAACAGGCTAGTAACAATGCATATTTAGGAACTTTTCCAGAAACCAGGATGAAATTGGGCAAAAGGAAGACCCCCAAGGACTTCCTACTCAACCACTTCTTCCTACTAAAGGTTTCTTTATGAGACAGAAGTGAACAAGAGAGACAATTGAGACAAAACATTTATTTTTAATTTTGTCACTAACTCAAGTTATGGAAGACACAGCGGTATTTTAGATAAGGCTGAGAAGTAGGGAGGTCATAATGATGTGGTCAGTTTGGAGATATGGGAGGATATTTATTTGAAGACTCTAGGGTGAGTATTCATGCTTGGTCCCATGTCCATGATGAGCTGCATGTAAAACTCAGGTTCCTGAGGTCTCCCCAGCCCTAGTCCTTGAACTTGCAGATATAGGGTAGCTTCGTAGCACAGTTATAATCTTTCCATTTCAGATATCCTAGAGAGACAGAGGAGCTCAGGTAAATGTGGCTGGTAGAGCTCATGAACCCAAGAGAGAGGCAGTGTCTGACCCTCACCAGTGTCCTACTCCAGAGAAACGAGACTCAAAAAAAGGAGAGATGAGAGGGGATGGGGGGAGACAAATCAACACTACATTTTCTAGCTCAGGGGGATTCTCTGAGGGTCATGCTGAGAAATGGGGAAATAGAGGATGAAAAAGCCTGGGCAGAAAGTAGCTTCTCTGTTACTTACCCGTGCTTCTTGACAGGCTCCCACAATAGCCAGGGTTTGCGATGGTGGAGGGGTCTTTCTCCCAGGCAAAGTAATTCAGAATATCAGCACTACTCCACTCCCAACCATCTGCATTGGGCTCATAGCCCTGTAGAGGATGGAGGGTGGTGAAGTTGAATTCTCACCACCCTCCATCCATTAGAACTCTCCATTAGAGTTCTCCTTGCATGAACCCCTCCCTAACATCACCAAATTTTCTCTGCTCATCCAGATGCTGCCCTGGAGCCAGAGCTCTCCTCTGGAAAGGAAACTCTTCCTAATTCCTTGCTTTGATTGGCAGATTCCAAAACCAGTAATCACAAAGACCAACAGAACCATTCAGAGTAACACGTTACCGACTGAACAGCAATCAGTGGTACATTTGTGATTACCCTCTGAACCTCAAAGACAATGTCTGATCTACAGAGCAAAAATGGATCCTATGTTCATTTAGGATTCCCTCAGCACAGTAAGTGCTGACTCTGTGAAGCTCGGAGAACTGAATTACAAGGCCTCACGGGGAAATTGTGCAAAAGCATGACAGGAGGCAGATTCACTTCAGCTGGAGACAAGGGACTTCCACAGAACTCAGCTGTTCAGCTGGCTGCAAGACCTTTCCCTTCTCCCTAATGTCCTCCTAGATCTCTGAGCTCCAGGGCTCTCTAGGGCATTTGCTGGGCAGGCACTGGGGACAGGGAGTGGGGCTGGGGGGCAACAGCAGCTTGAGAGGTTATGAAGAGAAATGAGTGCATACCTCTGTGGGGTCATGGAGCCCCATCCAGACATATGAGTAGGTGTTCACACTGTTCTTGACCAGGGAGGCCACAAAGGATGCCTCACTCCTACTGAGCACAGACACAAGGTGTCCCGAGGGCCTCTTCTGGCAGGCCATCTGGGTGGGGAAAGGAGAGAGGAGACTCAGGGCGAGCCTGAGACATAACTCGGGGGAGGGCAGGGCAGAGGTAGGAGAGAAGGGGTATATATGCAAGAGATGAGGGTGCTCAATCTCGCCCCTTCTGGAGAAACTCTGGAGAATGGAACCCACTCCCTCAGGTCTCTAATGTGCTTTCCCCTTAAAACCCCTAACTGAAAATCCAAGTACTCACATCAGCATCCATCCAGGATTTGGGGGTCATAAACAAGGCATAGCAGTGGGAGGCATAGGCCTTGGAGCCTCTGGGACATGTGATCCGTGGGGCAGGCACATCCTTCTGGAAGTCTTCACCTATGGTGGAAGGGAGTCAAAGAGAAGGAAGAAGTGAAGAGGAGAGTGGGCATCAGGGTAGGGAGGTGATCTAGGGGAATATCTATGAGGCTGGTGCTCGGGGAAGTGATGTCAAAGCCCTGACTGTCTCTCACCATTGCTTACCTACACTGTCAGGATTCCTGGGTCTTGAACCAACTGTACTAAGTGAGGAAACTTCTCTCCTCTTTTCCTCCTTCACCTTCAAAGCCCAACCCTTCCACACACTAGGCTGACCATTCTTGCACTGGATCCTCATTTTCCTTCCCTATATCTCATTATTGACCCTTCATGCTTTTCCTCTTTCACCTTCCAACATAAATCAGACTGCAGTGACAAAATGTAAATGACCTCCTTGTGGTGCTAGTGGACCCCTGTGACGCCTATCACCCCTGGTTACTCTGAAGGAAGGAGTGACGATGGGCAAGTTATAGGCAGTTTCATTGTGTGGGGAGATATGTCACCATTACCACAGGAGCCTTTTCCCTTCGTCTTGGCCCTGAGCATTCACAAGGACCCAGTGGTAGAGACAGGGCAAGCTCACCTTGGACCTGAGACAGGACCATCAGGCAGGAGAGCAGCGTCCAGGACATGCTGGGGAGGGCCATGGAAGGCAGCATCATATCTGTGATCCTAGGAAGCAATCAGAGATCACTAAGGAAAGAGTAATTAGAGAGAGGGCAATTAGGGAGGGCAACTCCTCTTCCTTGTCTTTGTTTAGTCCCCTAGGAACAAATTGATCTCAGTGAATTGTATCCCCTTGTATAGCTCTGGAAAGAATCAGATGATCAGTACACCCTCCTACCCCATGAGACCTGCCAGCCAGCCTGTGCTGAAATCACAGATGCTGTGTCTCTGTCTGGCAGGGATCCTCCTGTACCTTCCCCCAAATATGTACAGTATAACTCCTGCCACTCTCAGCTTCCACTCACCTGTCTTGCAGGGATTTGCAATGGTCTGTCAGTCAGGCTGGGCTTTTATAAGAAAAATTGAAGGGCAGGCACTGAAATCAATAACAGGAATGTGAAGGGGTCAGGGGTCATGGGAAAGGCTTGGCATTGGTTCAAGGAAGTTGCTACCATAAGGAGAGGTCTCTTCCCAGCATAGGCTGGGAATTGCCACAGATTTTGCCTCTTTCCCGTTAGCAGGTCAGCCCTTTCCCCAGGAACAGGTGAAATTTGTTCTTTCGCTGGCTCTTCTTCTGTATTAGGGGCTGTTAGCAGGAACTGTAGTATTAAAAAAGGGGAACATCTAATGGAGTAATTCTTTTAGTTGATATTCAAGAACTCCCTTTTGTAAGCATACATATATATTTCTTTCTATTTTGTATAGTTAAATTAAATGATCTTGGATGATAAGTGGAGGTGAGTACGGCAATTACAAGTATCACAGTTATCATCAGTGAGAGTATAGAAGGAACTGAAGTCAAAAATGGAGATGATTATTTCATGGCTGCATCTTAAACATGGTGGCTAATTTTAAGGAAAATCCAGAATCGTTTGATGATTCAATAGGTGAGCCAGGATATTAAGGAAAATCAGATGCTAAACTTGCCTTACCAGTCTCTTGAGAGATGGAGCTTACCTGTGGTAAAATAAGAGACAATGTAAATTAAAGCATAAGAAGATTAGAGTCAAATGATGCAGAGGCAAAGGAAGTAAAAAGAGGGTTAGAGTCAGAGCAGTGACTGGATGAATTGTAGACATTGTTCTATCTTGCATGTAAGTTGGAGATGTGACATCAAGATGTTCACTACCCTGGGCTGCTAAGAACCTCCTCTGAAAGACTATCATTTGGCTCTAAATGAAAAGATGTTTATATCTGATACATTCTTACTGGGAGAGGAGCCAGTTTCATGTAAAGGTACTGAGAAAAGTTCCTCAGTCAGGTTTACTTCTCAGTTAGCAATTTTGGCAACAGAAAGAAACATGTGGCTCATACTATGTGTTTCAGGTGTGGTTTAGCCAGTCCTGGACAACGTTAAGCTGGGATTTTCTACAGATCTTGTCTCTCACACTATTGTGTGTACATGTTCACAGTAAGGATTTGTGATGAAGTCACGCAGTTATGCTCATAACTGATTCATGTCCTCAGATTCCAAAGTCAGTAGAACCTACAAATAATCTAATAAGAAATATAGCCAACATATTCTTTTGTTAAAAAGGAAAAAGGAAGTATTATATCACAAAATATATACAAAATATGTAAATACAAACCCATAAATATAGTGAGTGCTCAGTGGAAATTAAAGTTTAAAAGTATAAGAATAATATACCATAAAAACATGATAATTAAAATAATTGAGAAAAATCTTGCTACATTAAAAAAATTACTTGAAAAGTGAATAATAGCAATTAGAAATCTAGAATGGAGTATGTTCTCAAATTCTTGAAAAGCTCAGTGTAATTGACCGAAGTATCTATTTCAGGTTAAAAGAACCTAAAGAGATATAGTAATTTAATCACATAAGCAAATTTTAAATGTATCTTGATTAATAAAGTAAGTCATTTCAGGGACAACTGTGATATATGAATATGGGCTGATATTTGATAATCCCAGATACTTAAATTTCTCTCTTGTGATGATGGTATTCTAGTTAGTGAATTTCCTTCTACTTCTGATATTTACAGTGAACTATTTAGAGGTGAAATATCATGCTATCTATGACTTATTTTCAAATTATGTAAGAAAATGTCTGTGTTTGGCATGAGGAGAGGCTGAGGAACGGGAAATAAAGCAAATACATTACAATCTGGTAACAATTACTGAACCTAAGTGTAAGATATAAGAGCATCATACATTTCTTTCAATTTCAGATAACTGAATTGAATTCAATTTTCAAATATTCTTTCAAATTCCAAAATATGTTTCAAATTTTCCAGATAGAAAGTTATACTTTAACTTACATGTTCACTATCAATTATAATACATAGGTATTTTTCCCATCATTAAACTAGAAATAGCTTAATATAGAGCAATATTCATGTTGAATCATATACAGCATATACATTAAAAATAACTTTTACAAATTCAAATGAAATATTAAAGTATTATAAACAAATAATATTTAACATTTAGCTATGTAAACAGTTGACAAATAAAAACAAGAAGAAAACAATGAGGAAACTGATCTTCTGTGTCCAACCAGAAAAAAATTACATCTTCAGAATTAAAAAGAGTAATCATCAGACTCCACCTGTCAAAGCAGAGCTTAAATAGTTTTGAAGATGGAAAACCTCTAAGTCCTGCATTTATCTTAAGAAGTAGAATTACAGGCATTCTCCAAAATTTCTCTTTTCCTTTTTAAAACTGTACTTATTTTTCTTTGCTCCAGAATCTTCCCCATTGCTAGGTTAAACTCAAATCCTCCTATGAAAAGTTATTAAAACTCGGTTTTGTTTCTACTTTAATTGAAACAAAGTTATAATATATCTTAAGGTTATAGTATCTCTAACTGCAATGTAAGACTTGTTTCACATGACAGCTCACCAAACTCGGTAAAATTTAATTATTATTGTTTTATTTGTAATTATTCTCCTTAGCAATCCTCATTAACCAGGCACTGAAAAGTTTGATTAAATTCTATCTTTAAAAAGTTAATTTTAGGTTAGTTACACTGTACTTCTTGGTGGTGAGTAAGGAATCCTTACTCTTGGTTTGAGCTTTACAAAGTTTTCTTTGCCAAAAGATATAATGTCCAACTTGTACTTTTTATACATATTAACTTCCAAGTCAAATAATATTTGCAGATAAACCTTAGTGTGATCATTTCTAGAATTAATTCAAGGGGGGAAATGATCACATTGCGGGAATCTAGGATATATCTTACAAGAAAAGTTCCTGGAAGATGGTTCAGCAGTGCTCATATCAAAAAATAGCCTTGAACATATTTTATTGGAGATTTATCACTAAAGCACAGCCCGTTGGGATATATTAACCAAATACTCACGATGCTACTTTGGTCCTTTCACCTTATCCTAAACCTGTCAGAAGAAATGGGAAAGGAATAAAATGAGGTCCCATATACTTTGTGAACCAATGCTGACTGGCCAAACCTCAAAGTCTCTGAGGTCAATAAGGGAAGTTATCAGAGCACTGTAGAGTTGATACCATTGGGTTAATCATATGTAAGTAATGAACAGTAACTGTTTTATCACTTGTGCAGTTATTGAGGGCAATTAGGTTTTTATCAGGAAACTGTCAATTTTTATTTGGTTTCAATGCCTCACATTGGTCTTGGAACAGTTCCCTGTTGTATATCATGTTAGTTCTAGTATACTTATTGTGTATTTTATAAAAGCTATTATTTGTTATTTTTTTTCTTTTAGGATGAACTAGTCATAATACAAAGCATTCTTCATTTGGGGGAAAAAATTAAGATTGTGTTTCCAACTGATTACCATCAATTACAATCACTTTGTTAGTGGCAACTCTTCAGACCTGAAATGCATTTCCAGAGCACATAGTTCTTTTGAAAGCAAATAAAAATCAGAAATGCTTTCATAGCTATGTTGCTTTTATTTTTATTATGAATTACTTTATGATAGAGAACACACTTAGTAAGCATCTATGTATTTACCATCTAGAATGAACAGCAATGATATCTTGCCATCTTCATCTTTTTTTTTTTTTTTTTTTTTTTTTTAAGAAATAAAGCTGGGATCCCTGGGTGGCTCAGTGGTTGAGAGTCTGCCTTTGGCTCAGGTGATCCCAGGGTCCTGGGATTAAGTCCCACATCAGGCTTCCTGCGGGGAGCCTCCTTCTCCCTCTGCCTCTCTCTGTGTCTCTCATGAAAATATAAATGAAATTTTAAAAGAAAGAAAGAAAGAAAGAAAAGAAGAAAGAAAGAAAGAAGAAAAAAAGAAAGAAGCAAAGAAGTAATAAAGAAATATCATAGCAGTTACTTCTTACTTCTTATGTAATTCTCACTTCTTACTTCTCCATTAGGAATTTTCTAATCCTTCCAACTTACTTTTTGAGCATTTATTGCATATAGATATATCAACCCTATATAGTATTATTTCATCTTGCTAGATTAACATACCTGTGTCATATTTTATATAACATTTTAGATTTTTTTTGTTGTTGATTTGGCTTTAGGTTTTAAAATTTACTCTGAGATAAATAGTTCTAATTCTTTGAATTAACTGCAGTGTAGTATTTACTAATCTAAGTATCTTAAAACTATGCAGTGGAAATTTATCACATTAAATGATGTGAAATTTGTCATATTTTAAAATCTCTAAAATCTAGGGGTGCCTGGGTGGCTCAGCTGCTTAGGCATCTGCCTTCAGCTCAGGTCACCATCCCAGGGTCCTAGGATGGAGCCCTGAGTTGGGTTTCCTGCTCAGTAGGGAACCTGCTACGCTGCTTCTCTCTCTCTTCCTCTGCCCCCAACAGCACTCATGCTCTCTTTCTTTTAAAACAAATAAATAATATCTTTAAAATAAATAAATAAATAAACAAAATCTCTACAATCTAAATACAGCCCTAATAATGACAAACATGGTCTTCATATTTGCTGTGTAGGACAAGAGTCAGGAAACATTTGTAAAGGGCCAGATGGTAAATAGTTTGGGCTCTGTGAGGCATACTGTCTCTCAGTTCTTCCACTGTAGTATGA